TTTAAGAAATAAAAGTTCTGTTGGGCATTGTGGCACATGCCTGTAATTCCAGCAGCTCTGGAGGCTGAGGCAGGAAGATTGCAAGTTTGAAGCCAGCCTCCCAATTTAGTGAGGCCCTAAGAAACTTAGTGAGACCCTGTGTCAAAATAAAAAGGATATAGTTTAGTGGTAAAGCACCAATGGGTTCAGTCTCTGGTACCAAAAGAAGAAAAAAAAGTTCTGTAATTATGAAATAAAATTGAATCATTCGACTCCTATATACCATTACTTTAAAAAATCTGTTTGACCCACTGACTTCTGAAACAGACGTAGTAAGTGCCCACCATGAGTTTATACACATTTTCAAATTCTTCTTGTATTTTTGGTGTTTTTCTTTTATGCAGTTGGCTGTTATGTTGCTTGTTGTATAAAGTTTTACGACTGTTATATCTTCTTGGCGGGTTGCAACTTTTATTATCACACAATATTCTTCTATGTCTTGTTTACACGTTTGTCCTTGAATTTTGCTTTGTCTGACATTGACGCTTCTGCTTTCTTTATGCTTGCCTTTGCACAGTCTGTTGTTGCCTCTATTTTTAACCTTTCTTTTTTTTTTAAAGTGGGTTTCCTTTAAGTAGCACATAGGTGGATTTATTTTTTAATCACATTCAATAGTCTCGGATTTTTAATAGGAGAATTCTTTCTGCCTACATTTATTGTGTTAATGGACATATTTAGGATTCCTTGTCTTTGCATAATTTTCTGTTTGTTTTCTGTATTGGCTGCAGATATCTTTGACTAGAACTAACAGAACACACAACTAATAGTTGCTTAATTAAACAAATGTCTATTAAATTAAACTTCCATGTCTGGGTTGCCTTATTTTGTTTAATAACTGCAGAATTTTATTTCTTGAGGTTTCTTGTTTTTCTCAAAGGACAAGAAGTCTGAAGATGTCCTGAAATGGGTGATTTATTTAGCTGTTCAAAATTTCCAGGGGCACATCCTGGTCTATCTTTCTGTTCCCCCATGCTCAGCCTGTGATTTTATCCTCATGCTTATAAATCTTCTAGCAACCTCAAGCATCATTTCCTCAATCTCTCAGGAAGATGCAGAGAGAGAAAGGCTTCTCCTAAGAAGTTTCATCCTGTGGAGGAGAAAGCCCTTCACTGGGGCTTCTGCCAGTATCTACTTTGTTAGAAATGTGAGTCTTGTCACTCTTAGATCCATCACTTGCCAATGAGAATAACATTATGGGATGAGTTTAGATCCATTGTTATTTTGTCCTTTGAGGCTGGGCTGGAAACTCACCTTTCCTACAGGGGAGCGTCTCTGCTTCTCCCTGAACAACTTGGGGTTCTGTGGTGAGGGAGGATGGTGGGCTGGGGTGGATGGTGTGGAGGCAATTGATAGCGTCTGCTGTGATAGTTACATGTATTTTGTTCTTTCTCTGTTCCCTTTACTTACCGTGACAGGATGGGGATGTCACTAGTCATTTGTTATTCTTCATTATTTTGTTGAAAGTTTTATAATTCTAGTAGTAAATGGCCTCTCTGAATTATACCTAGTTCTTGATTACTATATTGCCCTTAATGTACTAAAAATATAACAGTGTCCTTCTATATTAGGGGGATTAATGTGCCTTGTGCAATTGATAAACCCGGACATTTCAGTACATTTACATGACGAAGGCTTATTTCTTGACTGCAATGGTTGGGTGTGGTTTCAGCAGCTCCTCTGTGTGATCTTGTTTTAGACATTGACTCATGAATCAGGATGATTTTTTTTTTCTCGAAATTCCATCATCTTGGAGTCATTTATTTCCAGCTGGGTGGACAAGGGAGAAAATGCAGAAAAGATATAGCAGCTGCCCATCGCCTCAGCCTGGAAGTGAGACCAATCACTTCCCCTGACACTCCACAGACTAGAAGTCAGTTGTAGGGTCCCACAGAACTGAAGGGAACCTGAGGAGTGTGGTCCTTGGTGGACTAGAAAAAAGGAATGCAGGGTGGACCTAGCATGGTCACTGTCATTGATTGCCATTCTGAGCATTTATACATTTCATTTTCTCCTTATGAAATGCATTCACCACTTTTTTAAAGGGATTCCAGTCATTCCACTGCATCCACCTGGAAGTCCACAGGGTCCGAGGCCCCACATTTATCTCTATAAAGTCCAAATGTGCTAAATAGATATGTCACCTGAATACCTCTCACCCTTAAGACCAACATACAGCACTAGACAAGGCCAGAATATCTCTAGGCATACTGCCATTTGGGAAAGGAGAGAGCGTGAGGCCTGTTTTCCCTAGTCTACAGCATCCTTGAGTCCTGCAGGCCGGGCTCTGAGAGTTCCCCTGCCTTAGCCATGAAGGAATTCCTTGAATGGACTTGACCCCCTTGAGGAAGCTTTTTCTCCTTGATTTTTGACCTCGGCCTCTTCTGGAGTGAGTGTTGAGGACCACACCCTCCCTGGTCAGCATGATCTTGAAACCTGCCTCCAGCTCACTAAAGTTGGCTCCCAAGAGTTGTTTGAGTCTTGAACAATCAAAGGCTTTCTAGTCTATACTCCAAAACTCAAAAGGCTTCTCCTCCATTGGCTTCCATGTCCCAGGAACAATACCTAAGATTTTTACTAGTCATTTTCTACAGCTGACTTTATTTCTTTGCCCCTGGACCCCTACGTGTCTCACTGTCATCTGCAGGCATCTACGTTGAAGTTCTTTGTAAAACAGTTGTGAGAGTTGGCACTCAATGTTCTTGGGTTAGTCTGGCTTCTCTGAGGAGCAGGAATGGGGAGGGATTCACCATGCAAGGTTTTTTTGTTTGTTTGTTTGTTTGTTTTCCTCAAGGAAATGCTTGTCAGAGAAAGAGGGCAAGGAGCTGGCCGGGGGCTGGGAGAGACATTGCCCTGCAGTGCAGTCCTGACCTGGACTGAAGCAGAGAGGGAGGGAGGTTGGTTGGAGGTGTCCCAGAAAGTTTGACAAGGAGTCTGGTGTGTCTCAGGAATGAGCCTGCTGTGCTCAGAGACTGAAGCAGACTCTGAAACATGGCCTTGGACAAACCCAAGAGCCCCAGTGAAGGGCTTTCTCCTCCACAGATGAAACTTCTTAGGAGAAGCCTTTCCCTCTTTGCATCTTCCTGAGAGATTGAGGAAATGATGCTTGAGGTTGCTAGAAGATTTATAAGCATGAGGATAAAATGCCCTCAGTAGTAGGAGGCTGGTGAAGCACAATCTTATGACCACCATGGAGCTTTGTGTCCTCAATCATGTATTCACCTTAGAAAGTTGACTCAGCTCTACATGAAAATACTTTAAAAGTTCCATCTCTTATAGTTGGAGCCCTCAAAGAAAAGGAGATGTTTTTCTCAATCCTATGAAGTCCCAGATTTCTAAATGGTCTCTATTCTCTCTCATTTTACTTGCAAAGCCCTCAATTCTTCTTTAGACTCATTTCCTTCTCTTGACACTTTGCCAAACACAGCCACTAGTAACCAACACACATTACAAACTTTTTATTTCCCACCCTCTTCCCTTATAATGAAAGTTCAGGAAGCCCTGGGCCTGATTTTTAAGTTACAGTGCCTGACATTTTTACCAAATATTTTGCTCTTGCTTGACATGGATCTCGAGCCATCCAGCCTAATGGACACCACTCACCACTCAACTGAAAGTCAATGAGGCGTAGTTTATATGTGTTTCAGCAGCAGCTGTTTTTTGAGATAGATCTCCATATTAGTCATAGTAATCAATGCCATCTGTTGCAGTAGGAAAACTGAGAAATCTTCGTGGCTGAATCTAGCACAGGTTTATTTCTTGCTCAGGTTACTGTCTGATATAGTTCACAGAGACTCAGCATCAGGCTGCTTCATCTGGCAATCTACCATCCTTGATTCTCTTTTTTTCCCTAGCTAGTGGACAGGAAGAAGAGACTGCAGAGAATGTTCACCACCAACTACTGCCACAGCCCAGGAGTGACATAAGTCAGTTCCTACAGAAAGTGCCTCACTGTTATCTACGTTCTCTTTGATGAGGATTTTAGGAGAGCTCAGTCACAGACACCTTGGGGACCTGCTCCTGCTGGCTGGCTTAGCTATTGTGATGCTCCCCAGGGGGAGAGGGAGGGAAGGAAGAGAGGGTCTTGGACCTGCCTTTAGGCAGTATCTCTCTGGAATCGTATTTGTAGATGACACTGCTCTGCTATGAGGGGTGTAATGGTTGTGTGCCATTTCCTAACGAATGGAAATCAGATATGTTTCTTTTTCCTTCTTTATTCCTCCTCCTGTTGTGAGGTAGCAAGTGACAAACACATCCAGTGGCTCTTGGGAGAAGATGGCGAGGTCTGGGTCTGGGTCATGGGCGAAGGCCCTGGTGACAAGCCTTATGAAGAGATCTCCGAGGAGCTGATTGCAGAGAGAGCGCGGCTGCAAGCACAGAGGGAAGCCGAGGAGCTCTGGTGAGTGGTGCTGGGGCAGGAGGGGTGTTGGTGGGACCTGACCCACACAGCCTTGGGGTAGGTACAAGCCAAAGACCATAGGTTGTGGGTAGGAGGTAAAAGGTACCATCTGACTGGCTGTTTTGAGCTCTGCTAAGATTAGGGGACCAAAGCGTCAGTGTCTTGCATCAGGCAAAACTGAGGGTTCAAACCCTGGCTCTGCTAATTACAAGTTAGCTGATTGGGTCCTCAGTTTTCTCATCAGTAACATAAGCCTAACAATGCCCTTCCGATGTGCAAGTAGTTGGATTCATCTTGATTGTATATACAACATGCTTTGGCTTTTTCCTGTACTTAATTGTCAGGGAGACAGTACAGCAGTTTGGATTGACTTTTGTTGTCTGTTCCTCTATACATCATCCACGTTTCTCACACAAGATGGACGGTTGAGTCCCGTGTGAGGTTAGAGTGAGACTCTCATAAATAATTAATTTTTTTTTTTTGCCAAAACTGGAAAACCAAGGGAAAATGAACCCGACAACCCCCCAACAACAAATTTTGAATGACAATATTTTAATTTTAAGCTGCAGAAGCCCGTAAACAACACGGAAAACTATAAGGAACAGATTAAATAGATTATAGAACGACATACCATCTAAGATAACCACAGTGAGCATTTAGGTGATACATGCTCTATAAAGTCTTCACCTTGACAAATTGATGAATATAAATCCACAAAACTATTTAAGATTACTGTATAGTATTTGAGAAATACAACTTGTTGGTCCTATTGACAGACATTTGAGTTATTTATTATGTTATAAAAATTCTCCAATGAACATCTTCTACATACATCTGTGTACACTTGAGTGAGAAATGGGATTTCTGAATCTTGTTTGTCTGGCTTCCAGAATGATTCTACTGATTTTAACCTTCCCATATGTGAGAGTACCTATTTCTCCCCATCTTGGCCAATGTTAACCTTTTGTTGACCTTCAATATTTGCTATTCTCTAGACCAAGGGAAGATTGTTCATTGTTCTTATTTGAATTCCCACTGAGATTGTGGTCCTTGAGTTTTTCACTCAAGCTGATTCCTGCTGGTGCTCTCTTGGAAGGAAACAGAAGGAGGCAGAGATCACCAAGAAGTTCCGGGATGCTCTAGCCAATGAGAAGGCCCGGATCCTGGCGGAGAAGTGGAAAGTGGAGATGGAGGACCGCAAGGCTGCCAAAGTCCTGGAGGAACGCATCCACGAAGAATTCAAGGTGGGCCACTGCATGGGGCACCTGTGTGGTGGCTCTTGCTCTAGCTCCTCTTGCTCTAGAGGCCCTCTCCTTCCAGATGATTACATTTCTAAGGCCATTTCGGCTGATCTCTGATTTGGATCTGACCTTGACCAATTGTTGGTACTGGGTGCTTTATGAGAATAGAAGAAGGAACTTGACACACCATTTGGTCCCATCCATCTCTTGCACAGATGAGGAAACTGAGGGGTAGACAGAGGAAGAGAATTGCCAAGGTCACATGCAATAGTGGTTGGGTCAGAACTCAGGTCTTCTGCACCCCAAACCAAGGATCCTAAAATGAGGGCTTTGGAGAGAATTGGGTTTCTTCTGGTCAGACCAGCCTAGGATCCTATTCCAACTTTACTATTATTGCTTTATGACCCTGGAAACTTACTGAACTTCTCTGAGACACCATTTTTCTTTTTATGAGGATTGAAAGCAGCTCTCTCTCTCTCTCTCTCTCTCTCTCTCTCTCTCTCTTTCTCTCTCTCTCTCTCTCTTTCTCTCTCTCCTCTAGGGGAGGGCATTATTCATAACCTGCATGTCTACTCATTCTGGGAGCCTTTGTAATTGGTAAAGGAGGTTTACTGCCCTCTGATAGGAAGTTCGAATTACCTGAAAGTATACTTTTTCCTGATTCCTATTTTGAGTCTATTTTTTTCCTATAGTAGCAATATATTTTACTGGATAGAAAACAAAATATAGATAAGCAGAAAACTGAAAATAATAATCATGCTAAATCTCCACGTTGTGTTATTTTGTAATTTGTATTGTCAAAGATAAGCACAGCCAGACTTAGATAGAGCAGTGAAAACAGATTTTTTTTTTTTTCAGTAACTGCTGACAATAGGGGAAAGAGTTGAGCCCCTTCTGATTCATGTAGAGGGGATGTGGATGTTTGGGTGAAGGAGGGTGGTGGAGAGTAGGTTCTCCACAGAGTCAGAGAAGAGAGAAATTATAAAGGGCCGGCCAGTGAGCATTTGGTTAGGCAGCTGTATCTACTAGGTGGCAGCTGGAATCAGGATTCCACCCTCCCACGGAGGAGACAGAGGCCCTCTCCTTCCAGATGATTACATTTCTAAGGCATGGCTCTCAGGTCCTTGAGAGAGACACTTCTGAGTTGTAGGAGACACATATTCACTACTGTAAGCTCCTTTTAGTAAATACTCTAAGAAAGGGCAGTCAGGGGCTGTCACTAGGTGCAAGTAAGATCAAATAGTACATGCTTCCTCTGGCAGAATTGAGCTTTCTCAGGCAGCCACTTAAGTAGTGTCTGGAGTCACCTAGGGACATGGTCTTATGGGCTAGGAGCCAGGCTAGAGTTTGGCGTAGCCTCTGAGTGCAGGAGTTTGGAAGGAGTTATTATGTTTCTTCTGAGCAGTGTCTGTATATTCATTGTATTTGCCCATTCAAAAATCTTTATCCCTCCATAATGATTAGATAGTGAAGACATGGGTTTTAAAAATTGTTTTATGTTGACAATATTTTTTCTCAGTAGTTATTGTATTTTTCTTAGTTGGTTGTTTTCAGATGTACAGAAGCTTGGGATTTTTATTAACCAAATCTATTCATCTTTTTCTTTACCATTTATTTCACGCTCAGTAAGATCTGTACCATCACAAGCTTATAAAAAATATGAACCTACACTGTTTCATGTATCTTTTATGATTTTATTTCTCTGCATTTAATTCTCCTTCACTTTGGAGAGTACTATGATATAGGGCTCTAACTTTATTTTTTTAAAAAATGATTAGCCAGTTATTCCAATATCATTTATTATATAATCTGTTCTTTCCATTTCTATTGGACTTTCTGCCTTGATTAGATTTTTACTTTTTACTTACTTCTGGATCTCTTCATTTTCTTCTATGAATTATTATTCTTGAGCCAGACTTACTTAATTATTATAGCTTTAAAATAAAATTCAATATCTATTAAGGCAAGAGCCCTACCATTACTCTTCATTTTCAAAATGTCCTTGGCTAATCTCACCCATTTTTTTCTGGTAGGGAAATTTTTAAATTATTTTATGGCTATTCCCCTCTCTCTACAATAGAACTCACAGTGATTTTCACTGGAATTACATCCATGTGATAGTTCTGTTTGTAGACAATGGATGTTTTTACAATATTGAATCACTGAATCTTCTTTAGAAATGTGGTATGTTTCTCCTATTATCCAAAGCTTCCTTTTGTCTTTGTTAAATTTTTATCAAACATCTATAAATGCACCAGCTATCTAATTCCAAACAGTCTCAAAAAATTATATACATCTATGTGCTTCTATTTTTTGGATCTTGCTAAAATTTATTATTTTCTTTGAGTGTTCCATATTTCCTTTTTAGTTAAACTTTAGATTTCATAGTTTTTGTTGCTATTGTGAATGAAATTGCTCCCATTATTTTTAACCTATTGCAATTGCTAGTTATATACTATTGTTGATCTCCTGATTTACCTTTCCCAGGAGTTACAATTTTTCAGGGGAGATTCTCCTGAGTTATTAAATAAAGCAATATTTATTCTCAAGACATTTTATTTTAAAAATTGCAAACATGCAGAAAAGTTGAAAGAAAAGTAGATTGAATATTCACGTATTTTCCACTTAGATTTACCAATATTAATACTTTGCTAAATTTCCACTCTGTTTGTATTACACACACACACACACACACACACACACCATGGTTCTTTTGTTAACAATTTGAAAGAAAGTTGCAATAATCATGACATTCTAACCTAGGTGTTGGCCAACTGGTATCCATAAATGGTCAGTGTTTACTCAGCCATTTCACTGTGACAAAAAGACCTGACAAGAACAACATAGAGGAGGAAACATTTATTGGGTCTCATGGTTTCAGAGGTCTCAGTCCATAGATGGGCAACTCCATTCTTTGGTTCCCGAGGTTAGGCTGATTATCATGGTGGAAGGGTATGGCAGAGGAAAGTGGCTGGACCATGGCACTAGGAAGCAGAGAGAGACTAAGCTCAGCTCACACAATATATACCAAAGGCATACTCCAATGACCCACCTCCTCCACCCCACCCTCCCTGCTTACAGTTACCACTCAGTTAATCCCTATCAGGGGATTAATACACTGACTAGGTTAAGTCTTTCAAAACCCAATCAATCCATCTCTGACCCTTCTTGCATTGTCTCACACATGAGCTTTTGGGGGACATCTCATATCTAAACCATAACAGGTCAGGTAGTAAATATTGTAGACTTGGGGAGCTATGCTGCCTATGTCATATGATTCACTGCCACTGTAGCATGATGGTAGCAACTATGGTCAATATTGCAAACAAATGCATGTGGCTCTATTCTAACAAGACTTAATGTTATAAAATAGAGGCCTGGTTTGGCATGGGAACCTTAGCTTTCAGACTCCTGATTAAAAAACCTAAGAACTTGAACATGAGATCTGAAGAGCTATAATAATCATTATCACTCCTATTGAAATTAACAATAATACCAAAATAGTAAATCCAATCCAATCCACCGTGGAGAGAGGTCTATGTTGTTAGATTTTGTGTGTGGTTATTTAAATCTGCTGGGGAAGAAACCAGTTATTTATATATATCTCTAGCAATGATAGTTGTCACCTGCTCCATTTTGGCCACCTTCTTTCCCAGATAAGGCTGAGCCCCAGATGCCAGGAGGGTAGTTCAATGCAGCTGGGTCCTGGGCTATGTTCACAAGGACACCGAAGGATCAAGTTACTTGTGGAGATTTTCTGTTTGATGGTGTCTCTTTGAGCCTCAATGATAGACGGGGTGATAAATTGTGGGGTGCTCTGTGCCAGGGCTCATGAATGGGTTAGGAAGGCCCTCTGGCCTTTAGGACATGGAGAAACTCAGATGTAGGCTTTGGTGTTATTTACAAAGAAGGCTATGATGCATTTGTTTTCATTTAAAAAATTAATTTGCTAAATGTGAATGTTTCATCTTTAATAGAAATAGTCATTCAGACTCGGCATGGCCTCATTTGAAGAATCTTCAGAAATACAGGTTGTAACTGAGATCCCTGAGAGGCTGTGAAGGACAGTGTCTGTCAGGAGTGGCAGATCAAGGAGTCTGGAATTGGTGGCTCCAGGTTTATGAGCTGGGGCATTTTTTGTTAGATCTTTAATGCACTCTTCTTTTATCATATTGAGTTCTTCATCCCAGGAAACAGTTAAGCACAGGCTGAAACATTATTGAAAAGATTTCTGTGGTGGATTACAGATGCTGGTGGCAAATTCTTTGTCACCTCTCCCTTTGACAGTTGGTGGTGTTTATTCCCTACCCCCTTTCCTTCAAGTCCCACTGGCTTTGAGATTAGTTCCCCCCCACCCCACCCCCGGTACTGGGGATTGGACTCAGGAGTCCTTTACCACTGGGGATGTAGCCCCAGCCCTTTTAATTTTTTTATTTTGAAATAAGGTTTTGGTCAGTTGCTGAGGCTGCCTTTGAACTTGTGATCTTCTTGCCTTGATCTTCTGAGTTGCTTGGATTACAGGCATGTTCCATTGAACCTGGCTTGAGACTAGTTTTGTTGTGGAAGATACAAGTAGAAATGGTTCTCTGTAGTTTTTAAACATTTTTCAAATTAAAAAAAATTTACAAATTGTGTTTGTATTGCTAAAACATTTAAATATACAAAGAGCATAGAAAATAACAAAAATATGTGGATGTCCAACTCACAAATTCAACAAATATTACTGTTTTCCATGTTTACTTTATATTGAAAAAATTTAAAAAAAAACCAATGTTGCTAGAACTATTAAGGTTCCTCATCCACTATCTCTCTACCAAGGAGTGGCCATTCTTTTGAAGTTGTATTTTCTTTCCATTTTTACTTTATGATATATAAGAAGCCATAGAAACATAGTAACAATTTCTTATAAATTCTCTAATTCTCTATATATTCTCTAATTATTTATATAAACTGTCAAACTGAATACTCAGTTATTTTCAAAGTTTTTTCATATTAGTATCATT